CCAGCCCGCCGCTTTGATGGAGGGACACGCGGGTTCAGTAAAGGACTGCCCAACAGTCCTATGCTCTGATGGAAGTATGAGTGGGTTTGGTACAGGAGAGCCTGCCAGCCCGCTGGTCTGATGGCAGGACAAGTTGGTTTGGTAATGGACAGCCTGCTGTCCCAAAGCTCTCACAGAGGGACTTGTGAGCTTGGTATAGGACTACCTGCTGGCCTGTCCCTCCCACAGAGGAACGTGCAAGCCTGGTATAGGACTGCCCATGGGCCCGACACTCACTGAGGGACATGTGAGCTCGGTATATAACCGCCGGCCGGCCTGCCTCTCTCACATAGGGATGTTTGTGCTTGGTATAGGACGGCCTGGTGGCCCGCTGTTCTCACAGAGGAACATATGGGCTCAGTATAGGACTGCCCACTGGCCCAACAATCTGATAGAGGGACGTGCGGGCTTGGTATAGGACTACCCTCCGGCCCTTGGTTCTCCCAGAGGGACTTGCCGGCTCAGTTTAAGACCACTTTGAGCCATCCATAGGGGTCCTGCATCACCTTTTTACACCTTCCCTGTGAATGAGTGGAGAAAAGCCATCTGCCGCAAGACCGTAATTTACTCCTTGCGGTCCCGGCGGTGATGCACGCTATCAATCCCTGCCGCAGATCGCCGGCATCTCTGCGTAAACTAGTTGCTGCTTGCCAGAATGCACGGCGTCCCTGGTGGTGTGCGGTCGGAATTGTTTACAAATTTCCACAATGTAGTTAGCATCATACCACCTAGGTGGATTTCAGAGTTAGTAATTAGCAGCACTGTACCTATATACGGACTGATTACTGGAGCATTTTAGGTTATTGTTTCAAAATAAATATGCAACAATGCAGTTGATATTTGAGAGAACTATACCAATATACTGACTGGACAGTGTGATTTGTACTATCACACCCATGTATGGACTGATTAACAGAGTATCCCAGAGTATTGTAGCCCATCATAGTAGAGTCAGTGTTGGGGAATCCTGAGGCTGTTTATAGCTCCTGTTATATAGGACTGCAGCTTTACAGTATGAAATATGCAAAATCCCTATGTTTTCTGAAGTGGTGCATGAAAATTTCATTAGATCTGAATCCACACAACCGATCAAGGTCGAGAGACGCTACTCACGTTTTAATAACTGGTGACGTCGCTCAAGAGTGGACCAGCCGGTCATAACAGGCTCTGACGGAAATGCTACACTGTGCAATTATTTAGTCAGTTAGCCAGTCTGTGTGAATTAAAACCCATGCTTAGACTGTTACTTCAAAGTGATAGCTTCTCCAGCTGAGAAACACTGCTTTTTCCCAGAATACATTCATCTGACATATTTGCATAAAATTTGAACAACGTGATGAGTGATGAGGCGGTGAATATGGAGCACCTATGCGATCAGGGCAAAGGCTCGCTGTGGTAACAGGAGAGAGTTTTCGCTATGAAGGAGGCAGTGGAGCAGTCACCATGAGGTTGCTGGGCAGCTCTGCCCCGCTATCGATACCCTCTGAGACTCGTTACCGTCCTGGAGCTCGCCTCAGGATGCCATTTGGTCGTTAGCGCTGCTGGGTTGCTGTGGAGAGGATGCCTGTTCCCTTATGCCCGGCAGCGGCTCTTGCCAGTGCTTTTTCTTTGAATGGGATGGGCAGTGGGCTGCTAATGAGAGCAGGGGGGTGGGGGGGCGGGCATGAGCGCCTGCCCCACTGTTAGCACATTAGCCTGTCGTGGTGCAGCATACCACAGCAATCGTCTGCACTCTCTTAGCTAGCACAACTGACAAGGCTTGCACAAACCCCGGGCAAAAGCTCCCGGAAAATGGGTGGCTTTTTGGTAAACAGATGCTGATATTGGCACCAGTGACATATTTGGTATCTTCTAGTCATTTGTCACGCAACATCATTACCGTGGAAATTGGGGGTCGGGCGGGGACAGGGAGGGTGAGACCAGGCTGCGATGAGGAAAAGCTCCAATTTACTGGCTTTTCGTCGTCTTAAGCAACAAAATGCTAACCCCCCCAGGTCTATTACAGCTAATCTCTGGGAAAAGACAAATTATTGCTAAAATCTGTAATTACCAAGATGGTTTTTACAAGGCGGACAACAACCCTGACCTGATGCCTGGTGAGCAGAAGGCCCCACTGAACACTTTGACATCCACCACCCAATCCCCTTAGCTGCCCCCAGCTCTAAGAATATCCCAGTAATATA